TGGAAACAGCTCAGTATAAACAAATGAAGGAAGGTACATAGTTGATCATTTTAAAGTATATATTGTTCATTTTTGACGATAAATTAACAATATGAATTGATTTAAATGGACGTTTCAGTCACTGATTCTAAAATTTGAACTAATAAAACAGATGGAATTCAGCTGCCTAAGCAGGCTTCTGGGTTTGATTATTCAAGTGATTAAGATGCTATTTGTCAACTCTGGTTTACCACCCCTTTTAATTATATAGATAATCAGACCAAGAACTGCTAATTCTGTCTCCTAACTATTAATTGTTTATAATTACCTATAGTTTAAAACTGCATGTGCAATTAACTTAAAGAATTAATTGTTACAAGGGAATTGATAACAGGGAAACAACAAGCTTGGCATATAAGAGGCTCTCGGGACCAAGGACCACAGAAGCCAGTGGTGTCTTAGGTTCTATCCCGTCCTTGTAAAGACGTATCCCACTTCATTTGGACTTTTTCAGCTCTGTGTGAGGTAGTTGCATATACCATTTCTTACTAACATTTAGTTTCGGAAACAGCATGTTTGAAAAGTGTGACTTTTATGGCTTTTGGATCTTCAGCTGATATTAAGGTGACTTGGACCGATCTATCCATTTGCAATAAGGAGAAAATGCTTGTCACTTAAAGCATACAGAAGTGGTGAATGTTTTAACTAGCTAGGAATTTTTCCTTCCTTACTTCCCCCCTCCCTTCCTTCTTTTCTTCCATCCTTCCTTCTTCTTTGCCTTATTTCTTTTTTTAAGAGATTTTATTTATTTATTTTTAGAGAGGGGCAGGGAGAGAAAAGAAGAGGGAGAGAAACATCGATGTGTGGTTTCCTCTCACACCCCCTGATGGAGACCTGGTCTGCAACCCAGGCATGTGCCCTGACTGGGAATCAAACCTGAGACCCTTTGGTTTGCATGCTGGTGCTCAATCCACTGATCCACACCACCATTATTCCTTATTTCTCACCTCATTCTCATGGCAATATCACCGTAATATACAATCTTATCAATGTTCAATCAAGCATCTGAGAAATTCAAGTTTCTTAAATAATGATACTTATTAGATTTTAGAGATCTCTCTCACTTGTGTAAATAATTGGCTCTGTGTTAACTACATAAATTTGAATAAAAGTGGGGAGTAAAATAAAAAGCCACTTCCAACTGAAATGTGTTTAAAAACTATTACCATTTAAACATCAAGATGTTGCTAGAAAGTGAGGGAAGATGGTCTGGTGAAAAATAATGCTTGGTCACTGAAAAAATAATATTGGTAGAACTAAAATAAACCCCACATTTTAAAGGATTCTCCATTTCTTCAGATATCTGTGTTGGTTGCGTGGTATGGGACCTTCCACTCAACGGTGTTGATGATTGGCCTTACAATCAATGCCACATTGGTCCAGGTGCGTTCATGGAACATGTGCTGGGGCACAGCATTACATTCAGTTTTGTAGGGAATACAAAGCAAGGGAAAGACTTTTAAGTCTAGAGAGGGAAATAAGATATGCAGAAGACAGCAAAATAACATGAACTATGCTATAATATTTTTCAAAAATACACTAAGCATTGAGGAGATGAAAGACAGGAAGACATCAATATGGGTAGTTATTTAACAATTTTTTTTCCATTCAAAATTATGAGCTATTTAGTTAATGCCTCCTTGTTAACCTGATGGAACCATTTTGGTCCCTTTCCAAATTTTGATACTACTTTTTCCCAGGTTTGTTTAATCTTAAGAGTATTTTATTCTTACTGCTCCCCCCAATCTTTTTCTTTCTTGTACACAAACACACACACAGACACTCTCCCCTAGAAGTCAGAGTCCTTCTTTCTCCATGGCATTGTCTGTTAGATTGTTGAAGGGTTTGTGATGATTTAGTTTGATGTGTGACTGGTATCCTTCAAACTACTAGCTTGTAACTTTCGACTGACTTTGAGGAATAAACCAGAATTTGTGGCAAGTCGTCTGTGCCTGGCTCCTGAGGAGGAGTCATTAGCATAACATCAGAGTGAATGATTACCTTGAGGATTTTAGTGGAGGCTTCACTGCTTCCTGTAGTGGGAAAGTTATAGCTGTATTTTCTAGGCTGATACCTATGGACTGAAGAAAATAATGCATGGCCTTCTCTACGACATGAGTCTGTTTTGTGGGTAAACAAGATAAAATATTTGAAATGCTCTGGACTCTCTGGGCAAATTAAGTTGTATAACACTTAGTGTCATTTGGGGTTGGGCTCGTTAGTGATCAGGAAGATTTCTTTTGCTTGTGAGATTTAACCTCCAGAGGCTAAGTCCTGCTCACCAGTGTTTAGATCGCCACCTTAATCACATTGCTAATGAACTAGAAGCCCAGAGAAGTTCCAAGTAAGACATTGTCCTTGTCCTGGAAGATTCTATATATTTAAAAAAGGTGGGCAAGAGAGCCTAATTATCTAAAATATGTGATAATGTTACCAAACAACAAGAGGTCCGAGGGAGGGGCAATACAATATTTGGCCCACCTAGGGATGCCCAAAACTGCTATACAACAGGGGCCCCTCCCAAAAACAAAATACTAAAATCTACTGGGCCCTTCTGTCCGCCGCCAATTGGAAAGACATCTCTTAATGCCAGAGATTTGTGAAAAGGAAACAAAATGTTTATTTAATGCTATTCAGGCCTAATGCCACCACTAAAATATCAAAGTCCTTTATGTATACACCCACACAGCGCTCCCTTCTCCCACTGTCCCAACTCCGGGTACCGTAAATCAGGAAAAGAGCACATGTCTGTATTGCAGGCTGCTGGCACCGTCAGCTGTGTCACTGTGCAGGCAGGATCTCGAGTTAATCCAAAGTACTGTGTTACCCTCTCATGGTCCACTGGCAAGAGTCCTTTGTACCCAGTTCCAGTCAAAGTCTCTGTTGCTTTTCAGGCCCCGCGGCCAAAGGGGGCACCCCAAAGCCGCGTGGGCCTCTTCTACCAAAGCTGCAGGAGTCCGCACTCCACCAAAAGCATGTGGCTTTCTTCTTCACCTGGCTGCAGGGATCTCCATTCTGGCAAAGCTGCGTGGTTCTTCCCTTTCAGCTGGGAAAGAGGGGGTCCGCACCCTGCCAAAACCACGTGGCTCCCTCTTTCACCTCACCAAGAGGGGGTCCTCACTCTGCTGAAACCGCATAGCTCTCTCTTCACCTAGGCAGTTATCGCCTCATGTCCTGGAGCCAGTCTTTTCCAAGCTCCCACACAGGCCTTCTCACTCTGGAGCGCAGCCCATAGTTCCCATTTTGAGTCCCCAAGCCCTTCTCACTCAGGAGTCCAGACCTTAGTTACATCCTCCTGAGTCCCAGTCCACAACCTTCTCCTTCCCTCAGGAGCACCGACCCTAGTTCCTTTCTCAGTCCCAGCTACCTTCTCCCTGGCTCCAAACTTGGCCACTGCTATTTAACATATCTATGAAACCAGTTAAAGGTTATAGATATGTTAAATAATCATTCCAGAGGTTAGCTCCAAAACTGTTGCTATGCAAAACGGCTCTCAATGGCCTGGCTCTATTCGTTTCTTCCCCCTGGGGGGGTGGGGTGGTGAGGACATCTTATATGTCTCTCCAATATTCCTATACACTTTGAATTCTGGACACCATTCCAAATCTGTTCCCCCCCCCCCCCCCCGGCTGCACCCTGTATCAATAGCAGTTATTTTAGAAGATCATTAAAGGAGGTGGATGGACCAGGGATAGTGTTAGTGAGTCTGACTTTGACTTTTTTTAGTCAAAAAAGCTTCATAAGAAAGGTGAGGACTAGCACATTTCTAAGAACTTTTGTTGGTAAAAGTCTTTTAAAGTATAACACGTATGGCTTTTCCTTTGCTCTCCCCTTCTCAGATACTAATATTTTCAGGTTTTCTAGAATCTTCCCATTATTGATATTTACTTCCATTAAAAATTTCATTTGTTTATATTAAGTTGTGATTGAAATATGTAACTTATTATGTAGCCTCTTTTAAAGATGTTACCTTTTGGATAGAGGGCAGAAAATGTTTTTGATTGAAATGCAAGAAATATTCATAAAATTAAAATGGGCTAGGGTGTGTGTGTAATTTGATTAGGATGTCCCTCAGATAACATCACATATTATATGTTACTACACCGCCTTCCTAGAAGACATTTACCTTGCAATCTGTAAATAAATTAAAACAAAGAAATGGAATAATTTTTTACTTTTGAGTGTTCTGTAAATGTCTATAAAATTAAGCAATCCACGGAGGACTGTAGTAAACTGATGGTTTCAGGAAAGAGTATATGTATGTGAATAAGTATTAGGAAAAAAGGAAACATGGTTTGACTCATTGGGATGGAAGAATTGGACTCAATTTTTCCCTTTTAAAAATGATTCACATACCCTGGGAAACAAACAAATCTTACATCTCCTTCTCATTAAAGAAAGGAAAACCATTTTTTAGGAATCCCAGTTATCTGGCACAAGGCAAAAAGAAACACGTGGGTATGTGGATATATGCTGGCTGAACTTTTGCTCTTCAGTCTATTTACTTTAAATACTTTTAATAATTTCATTTACTTTACAATTTCAAAACTTGTGTTCCTTCATAATCATTTTATATTTTCTTTTAAAGTACTTACAATAACAGGAAAAGAGTTTTCCTTTTATTTTTTTTAAGTGTCATTCACAAACATGACTTTGCTTTAAGTCTCCTTTGTCCTGAAGTGGAGGGAGTTAGAAGGAGGAGCCTGTTAATCTTTCATGTGCACAGTCTCTGCAATAAAAACACGAGAGCTTTCCAGTGTGAGGAAGTCAATTAATTGAAGTCTACCCCTCTGCAATGCTATCACTTTACTTCTTTCTGATTAGATGACAAGATGGGATTTTAATACAGAATAATAGGGCCATAAAGATGATATACTTTCCTCTATGTATTATTAAGCACTATGATCAGTGTGTACTTTTCCTGAATAAAGTGTGTTAATCTACAATGATATTTCTAACAGACAAAACATTCTACGATTGGAGAGGAATTATGTCAAGGTCTTCCCATTCTGCTCGTGGCTCCAGGTTCCCTAGTTTCTTTGGACCATCCTTTCCGGAATATAGTACTGTAAGTGTTTGTAAAACTGGGCATAGAGTTGAATGATCATTTTCCTGGCAAGTTATTGGGTTAATTTTGATATGACATGTGATATTTTTTACTATGGACCTATTTCATTCCTAAAATAATTCTTTATTAAAATTCATCTTTTTTTCTGAAGCACTGCTTTAGTTTGGTTATCATATCTTATCAATTTGTTGATCACCTTAACTCCTGAATATGTGTATTAATTTTTATGTGAAGAGCACTAGTAGCCAAAGTAATCATCTCAATGGTTTGCCCAAATATGATAGCACCTATTTTCATAACGGAACTTAGAATATCAAGAAAATATTATGGAGGCCAATGGTGAATGAAGACATTTGTTAGGAGAGGGACAATTAGAGGACCCAGAAGCCCTAGGGAGATTTCTTGACCACATATTGATGGTTTTCCCAATGAGGGCTTTCTAAACAGGGTCATGGGAATCTGTGACTTGAAAGTGGAATCAGGGCTTTACCTTGAGTTCTTCTGTTCATCAGAGCAAGTTCTCAGATGTCTCCAGGTAAATAGTAGAGAAAACTTGTGATTTCTGACATTTTTAGCAATAATTTCTTCAAAGATTGTAGCATGCTCTTTCATAACTTCGTGACACAGGGCCCGTGTCGGTGTCTGGGTTTATTCCCTCTCCTGATGTGTTCTGCTCTGGGTGTGAATGTGTCTGTGTCATCCTTTCTCTGCCTTATTCTCTCTGTTCATAGCACTATATTATTTTTCTTCTGGAATCATCATTTGTGTTGGTGTGTATGGGCTGCCATAAAATAACACCACAGACTGGGTGGCTCAAACAATAAATTTACTTATCCAAGTTCTGTGGCCTACAAGTCCAAGATTAAGGTGCCAGCAGGGTGAGTTTCTCGAGGTCCACTCTCTGCTTGGTGTGCAGACAGCTGCCTTCTTGCTGTGCCCTCCCATGGGTTTTGCCATGTGTGTTCCTGGCATCTCCTCATCTTTCTATGAGGACACTAATCATACTGGATTGGGGTCCTACTCTTATGACCTCATTTAACCTAATTACCTCTTTCAAGTTTCTGTCTCTAACTATAGTCACATTGGGTGCCAGGGTGTCAACTGGTGAAATTTGAGGAGACAACATTTAGCCCATAACACCATTAGATAACTGAAATATATTTATTAATTATTTTTTATCTGTTGACTAGTTCTTTATCTACCATTTAAACAAATAATTGAATTTTATATTTTTCCTATAAACATTTTGAATTATGCCTTTTAAGTTATGTTGCTAAATTCTTTGTAAGTAAATTTTCAAAAGCTAAATTATTGCAACCCTGTTTCAGGCAAGGGCATTATATGAACATTATGAAGAAATATCAGAGTTTTGACAAGGAAATTATATGACTATTATGTTTCGAGAAATTCTAACAGTCTTTATACTCTTCTACTTTTAGAACATATTAATTAATCACAGCATAGACAGTTACCCCGAGTTAACCGGATATATATTTCTAATGCATGAATGTCCTTAATAAAAGTGATACACCTAGAAGGTTGTTTTCTTATCTTCCAGTAAAGGTGAAAAAATGAATTGCTTCTTCTAAGCCTTCCAGCTCTCCCCTGTTTTATGCTAACAATTTGGAGACTGCTCTTAGCTGTGCAAATAAGTACACATTAAACATATTTCTTTGGGGAACACATCTGGCAAGAATAGACTTGATTGTAGAGAGCCCTGAATGCAACACTGGGGCCTTTGTTCATCGCTGTGTGAGAAATTAGGAGTTCAAAGGGCTACCGACCATGACTTTGACATAGTAGATGGTGCTGTGGGGATGTGCACCTGTCTGCAGATTTCGGAGTGGACTGAAAAGGAGACTGGGGACGCATTAGTAGGCCTTTGCATCAGTCCAGTTAGAGGTTTGTACCTTATCCTTGCAAACCAAGTGTATAATGGTGGGGAGAAGGCATAAGTTTCTAACCTTTCAATCTTAATATTTCACCATTGCATTTTAATATTTCACCATTGCATTTTAATATTTCATCATTGGATGTCTAACTGGCTTATTCACTAAGGATTTCCCTTCTGTTTTTCCTTTAAAATAATAACAGTCCTAGAAGGAATCAAGCACTAAGTTCCAAGTAAAACCTCCCTTACATTTTTTATTGTGGTAAAATAGACATAACATACAATTTACTATGTTAACCATCTCAGACCATAGGGTTTGGTGACAGAAGTGCACCCACATCGTTGTGTGACCAGCAGCACCATCCCTCTCCAGAACTTTTTCATCTTTGCAAACTGAAACTCTGCTCATTAACCACTAACTCCCTGTTCTTCCCTTCCCCCATCACCTGCAAACAAACATTATACTTTCTGTCTCTATCACTTTTATTTGTCCTTTTGTGACTGACGTATCTCACTTAGCATGATATCTTCAAGGGTCATCCATGTAGTGGCATGTGTCAGAATTTCCTTCCTTTTTAAAAAGGCTGAATAATATTCTCTAGTATGTATACACCACATTCCATCCACTCACCTGTCTATGGACACCTGAACTGTGTCCACCTTTTGGATATGGTGAATATTGTGACTATGAACATGGGTGTACTAGTAATGTGTGAGTCTCTGCTTTCACTTCTTTTGAGTTTATACCCAGAATTGAAAAACATGAACCATATTGCATTTATATGTTTAATATTTTGAGGACTCACCATGTGATTTCCCACAGTGGCTACACCATTTTGCATTCCCACTAAGCTACCCAAGTGTTCCACTTTCTCTACATCCCTATCAAAACTTACTGCATTTTCTGTTTTCTTGATGGTACCCATCCTTATATATGGGAAGTAGTAAGTAATCTTCATATGAATTTGTTCAATCATTCAAGACAAAAAGTAACTTGCAAAGTTGAGAATGTGGAAGCCTGCTTTGTTAAAAGAGGAGCAGAGACAGGGAACAGAAAACCCTACCATTGATTGTAGGAGGAGAAAAAATATATTCTGCTTTCAAAACACTCTATAGCTTAGCTGCTGTTATCAACATTTTAATTTGCTCACACAGAAAAGTTACTGTGTGCTTTCTGTAGGCTAAAAAAGACACTTTCCCTTAGAAGCCTGAAGTTTTTGTTTTCTTTTAAATGTATTTTGTATGCTTATACATCTTTAGCTCTAATTAAATAATAATTTAATGTTATATGTCCTTAGCTGTAATGTTTCATTTCTGCAACTGTGGTCTTATTATGTTAGAATTATATAAAAGTTTCCAACTATTTAAAGCAATGGCATATAGCCCTCTAAAACTTCTTTACATGAAGTTGAAGAAACTGTATCCTGAAGTTACTAATGCTACTTTTTATGGTTTCTGAAGTACTGAGATATTTATAGCCTTAATTATCTTGAAAGGTAATATTTATCCAAAAGAAGTGAGCGCTTGTGAACACAATCTTTCATGTAACATAAAAATATAATATTACATTGCCATAATATAGGAAAGACCACCATCTCCAACTTTTTATCACAATTTTATTTCATAACTCTTCCTTAAAAAGGCTTGCTAACTTCATTATAACTTATAAAGCAATCTTGAAACCCATGACCTGGAGGACTGTAGTTACAGGAAAAAACTCCAGTATTCATTATAATCTGAGATGTAAAATTTAATGTATTTGTCAATGCATTAAAATATGCTTTTTAAAAATAAGATAAAAACAAATATTGACAGAAGTTAACTTCTAGCTAATATTTCAAAGTACAGGACAGAGTACAGTAACTTTTATTTATTAGTTGTTCATAAGGCAAAGCTCTCCTCAGTGAGAGGTGAATTTCCCACGTTGCCATGGTTCTAGGGGTCAGGAAGGGTTCGCTGAGGAGCTGGGCCATTTGTCGATTCCCTAGACTGGGGAAGAGGTGACAAGCAGGGGAATGTCTGAGGAGGCTGTCAGCATGTATGGCTGGCGGCAACAGGGCTCTGCGGGCAGAGGGTAAAGAGAACAGGGCGCAGCACACACCTCAGGAACTGAAAGACGCCCAGTGTAACAAAGGTCATGTGCAAGAGGGAAAGTGGCAAAACCTAACTCAGTTTCCCTCATCCCAGAGTGCCTTGGAAGAAGACCTGGGATCACTTTATCTTCTTAGTCCTGGTTGAAAAGCCTTTGCCTAATCTTGGCACTAGCAAGTAAGGGATTACAAGCAGATAGAATTTGGTTTAACAGTTGGTTGCGTTATAAATTGTTTGGTGCTTCAAAAACACACTGTGAGTCCTCAGGGCATTTGGCTTCCTTCCCCCTCACCCCCCAAAGAGGAACAAGATCTGTGGAAGAGAGATGACAAAAGTCACTGGTCATATGTTTCTAAAAAACGTTTATAGCTTCATCTGATAAAAGAATCAAAAGTTTTCATTCATTTTGTAGGAAAATATTTTGAAAAATTGAAAATTTACAAATATATTATTCTTTATATCAGCTTAATTTTAACCATAAAATGAGTTGATTAGATTTTGACATAAAACTTCTTATTAGTTTTATCTGGGAAATTTGAGCCACTTGAGTAAAAGAAAATGTACAAATCCAAGGATATATATATATTTTTAACTTTACATATATATTTAACTTGGGTATGTATATACACACACACACACATATATATATATATTGCGATTCTTTACTAAATTATAAATTCAGCAGAAGGTATGCAGTCGCTTGAAAGGTTTTATCATATAACAAAAAATAATAAGTTAGCATGTAATATATAAAGCATCTTTGCTCATGTCTTTCTTTCACATTACAATATCTTATGCTCTTTACCTTTTGAGCTATAGATAAAAATTCTTTACTCTTGTCCTAGTTAAGATACTTATTGGGAAGAATTAAGGAGGTACTCCATATAAAATTTAGCAATAAATAGGTTAGTATGTATATTCAGAAGGAATCAGTCAAAGCTTATATTCAACATTATTATGATGTTTTGAAAGAAAGCAATTTTGATGAATGAAAGATATGGATGTAATATTACTTAGA